ACACCTCCACCACGTCGGTGTCACTGAAGTGCTGAGAATGACCCCCATCTCAAATAATACTTGCTTTGTGGTGGTCTTGTGGGGGAAAAACAAAGTAAAAGGGGATAACAAAGTATGCAGAGAAGCAGAATGACTACAGTTACAAGTATAGAACTATGAAGTGCACCTATACGGTAAGTGGAGCTAATAAAATGAGCAATGAGTGTAGAAACAAGGTGCTTTTAATGTTCAGTGAATATATAACAATCAGTATGTACATATACATGCATATGGAACATGTGTACGGCCGCATGTCCTAGCATTGTATGAAAACAAACGTGTGTGTGTGCATTCATGCAGGGTGTTACAGTTCACGTGTATCTGTCATTACTTCCTTCAGCACATACCTCAATTTGTTCTCTGTCATGAAGCAAACTCTGCAGCTGATGAAGAGCTGTGAAAGCAGATGGGAAAGAAAACTCTTCTCTCCATCATATCGGCTTTGAGCATGGAAATCATTTGCAGCTCTGCCGTGTACTCCGTGGCAGGGGAGCTGCTAGTTTGATCTCTATACCAAAAGAACAACACACTTAGGCAACCTTGTTTTCTCTACATTGCTTTTTCCTCCCTTTTCTTGTTTTTTGTTTTCTTTTTTTGTGTGAGCAAATCAATAGATTTTTTTTTTCTTGATATTATCTGACTGTGAGGAAAGCGGAGCACGGTGGCAAATCAATTGTTTACACAGTGCACATTTGCTGAGTTTAATTAGAGTTTGGAAAACAATTTACTTTGTGTTTAAATGAGATAAAGTTCACACACTGAAATCTCTTTTCTCCTCTGATTTTATGGGGGACCGCTGATTACCTGCCTTCACAGCTAAAGCCACATGCTTAATTTTCTTGTTTAAAATGTATATGACCCTGCTGCGCCTGACAGTTTTGTAGGTCATTCACTCCAGATTAGGTTATGGAATTTGATTGTTGCTAGAAAACACGTCAAGACCATCTGAAACACTGGCCGACAGGAGTGGAATCAAATGTATGGTTGAAAAGAAGGAAAAGATTTCATTTAGATGATATTTAAAATTAGATGTAGTGATTTGGCAAGAAAATGAGAAATATAGTAATGATGTTTGTTTGCATAAACAAATTCAAACATTTGGAGCGACAGCAGATCAACAGTGAGAAAAAAAAAGTACAGTCTTACATTCTGTGCAATTTTAGCTTACATACTTTCTCTAGTTTTCACTGGTTTAATGAAAATCTTTAATGGAAATCACATATTAAATAATATTTTCATTATTTTCCAGCTTATCTGCACCACTGGGGTGCTTAAGCTGAACAGAAAAATGTATGGTACAGTATGTTGCACTCTGGGAAAAAACATAGCAGAGACAGTGGGAAATGTTGCATATTGCAGCAGCTTATTAATGCCCAACGATAATCCACTATTTTAACGTTAAAAAGGAAGAAAACATTACATATGTGTATTATTTAATATTATTTATCAAGCTGTTGAAAATAAAATTAGTACTCTCTTGTTCTCTATCAGGTTTCTCCAGTACACCAATTATTGCTTTTAGCATGGTTATATATTATGACATTACTTCAGAAGCATAAATTAAACCCCATTCTATTGGTTTTAGGTTTGGTTTTCGGCCAAGTGTGTCGTAATTTTCAACTTCAGTTTGGGTCAGGTATTTTCATTTCGTAGCTTACCAATTTTAGTTAGGGCTGTTGTAGTGGCGCTGCAATGCTTGAGTGCCTTACTACTGTGATGTGCAATGCAAAAGTCATAAAACATGTAGGTGTGGTCATGTAGGTTATGGAAATAAAAAGTGAACTTGGCTGAGTGGTGGCCAAGCTGGTTGTGTTTTCTATGTTTTTTCATGAAGGAACAATCAGTAATGTGTTTTGTAAAGTGATGTGGTTAAATGACATGTTTTGTTAATTTTCTAAGTGAAAATAAGTTAACACGTCCTCTACAGAGAGCAAAGTTAAATATGGCATTTCTGCAAATTTTAGTGCACAATTTTTATTTATTTGCAGAGTTTAACATAGTGGGACAAATAGAAATAGAGAATGTGCCAGAACTTTTTGAAGGCCTTATTTTCTGTTTTATTTTTATATGTTCAACAAAATTCAACAAATGAACAGTAATTCTTTATTAAAATGTGCAGAAGTGTGTTCTCTGTAGAGGATGGGTTAACTTATTTTCACTTAGAAAATCAACAGAACGTGAAATTTGACTAGGGTGCCCAAACTTTTGCAAACAACTACCTTTAAGACAGTATTTTTTCCCCCCAAAGATCAGTACAGTGCATTCACCAAGTCTGGCCTTCTAACCAGCCTCAGAAATCTGCCAGCCCTGGTTGTTGTGGAGCACTGAGAAAGCTGAAAAAGATTTATTGTTAAACTATTATGTGTAGCAGCTTTCCACAGCAACCATTAAGAACTAGACCACACGGAAAGGCCAATGGAGAAATCTATTCTGACTCATTGGCTACATTCAGATACAGCCAGCATGTCCCATTGAATTCCAAGGCAATTGGATTTGGACTGATCACACCCGAATGGCCATTTTTACTAGGTTTGACTGAGGGGAAATTGAATATTGTGAGAGTGTGCATGTGTGGATGGACCAAAACTTAACTGTCAGAGAACACATTCAGCACAATTTAAGGTCTGAGTCAAACTAAGTGCGAGTGCCATAGTCCTGCTGTGACTGTTTCACTTGTATGTAGATATGGCGTATAATGATGTATAGCTCTAGAAGGACAGGTCTACAGGCTTTGTCTTTCTCAAGCAGTCTCTGCTACATGCTGAGGCCATATCCAAAAAGCACTTGCAATTTTCATTCAAGACCATGTGCATCCATATGCATTGTGCACAAAGGGGTAGGTGAAGTGGAATATAAATAGGAGGGTGATGATTAATTAGGATCTTCTCAGCCAATCATATTACTTGTCTCAAACAGCTGCACTAAAATGACTCACTTCATGGCAGAGGAGACGGCAGAGGGGGATGTGCATGAGATGCCAAACAGCATAGCAAAACAATGAATCATACTATAATACACATGACAGAGTCTGCAGTCAATGTCCACTTTATTAGAATCCCACTACTTTGTAGGTTGACCTTGCTGGTGTACAATAGTCCATCTGTTGATGCACAGTTTGCGATGACCATCACAAAGTGACCACAGATTCTGACCACAGACCACTCTCAACCTAGCAGTGACATGGACTTATAAAAACCCCAGCAACACCACTGTGCTTCATAAACTACAATGTCATTGCTATGCTTAGAAGTGTCCACCCTCTAAATAGTATCTGGACAAAGTCCTGTGGTCAGAAACTGACTAATGATGTCCTACAAGGCTAATTTGTCATTTTGTTGCCTAGTCTAGAGCAGCACCACCTGGGGCTGTGAGGGGTGGTAAAGAGCCTTGAGCAAGGGCACAACCAGAAATACCCAGCCACTCTTGAGACTTGAACCCATGACCTTCTGGTTACTGGCTCACCTCTACTACCACTAGGCTACCAACCATCCAGTGGGTTCACTGGGGTACAGAGGGGCTGACAAATTGTGCATCAACAGATGGTCTGTCTCTAATTGACTATTAGCAAAATTTTGACATGTCCCACTTTGCTTAGTTACTGTTGCTATGTCTGTCAAACTTTCAGCTCAGACTGCCTGTAGCATCCATAGCACCTGTGTTGACTGACCAAGTTTTCTTATGTATTAAGTAGGAGGTTTGAGCAAAGCAAGCTTCCCCTTCAGATGAGCTAAATCTAAAACTAACAGTGCAGGTCAGAGCTATGTTATATTTTAAAGAAGGCACATCGTCTTTTACATCCTTTAGCAAGCTTTAATGAAACAAAAGTGATGGTATGCATAATATTTATCTTTACATATGTAAAGCTATGTTAAGAAAAGTTAGCTTAATTAGATATATAAATAGATAGATTAAATAAATTCTTAATAATTTACTGCCACTGCTGTTCTTACAGCAGAGTGTTTTATTGCTTGACAGAGAAAGTAGTGCTTATATGTGAAAGGCTGTGTCAATCGTTATTTTGCAAATGGTCAATTGTATATCTATATAGTGAGTGTAGTGGACTTCATAAAGTGGTCAGTGAGTGAAAGTACAAGGTAGGTGTTTCTAATAAAGTGGACGGTGAGTGTGGCTCACTATCCACTTTTTAGAAGATGTGGTTATGAATTTTGTTTTTCTGAAGGCCTGTGACATTGTCAAATGTCTGAATTCATTTTAACAGTCCTCTATCCGATTCCAGAGGAGGAAACTTTGAAAGACTCTTGCTTCACGAAATGTATTAGTATGGATGAAAATCTTTTCACCAACATGGCGAACTACCATGAAAAAGGGAGGGGCGGATTATACATCATTCAGAATGTTTGCGAAAGTATAAGTCTTGTTCTGCTGCAAGGACAACAAGCTATAAATTCAAAGTCGAATTGGCCCTGTAACTTCAAATACCCACATGATAATACAACTGAGAGAAAGCTCTTACATATTATACTTCATTCAAGCAACAGCTGTGCATTTCCAGCCTAAATTTTGTTTCCAGCCTGTGCTAGCTGAATCACCACATAATCAAATGATTGCCCTGAGTTTATACATTTTCACATAAGTTTAATCACCTCATCGTGAGCTACCTCATTTCCATGGAGGTTCTATTCTGTTATGCTAGCCCTGCCACCCTTGTGCATTGCGAGGTGTGCAGATCACAACAAGGCCAAACAGCACATTATGAGATCATAAAGATACCTATATGTTGTAGAAACAACACATCCACATCTCACTGTAATAACTCTTTCACAGTCATATACTGTAATTGTGAGGTTCTGTCAGGTTTCTCAAAAGAGATATTATTATAACTTTCTGGAATGAGTCGGTTCTGCGGCATAGACATATATGTGCTGCATATAATGTGTCGTGTCTTTTTGCCGACAGCACATCAGACGTGAGCTAATGCTGATCCCTCTGTTTTGTTGCAGCTGGCGACCTGGGACCCAATCCATGGACTAAATGGAAGCCTGTCAGACCGAAAGCTGGAGAATAACATGCGTGGTGTGGTGTTACGTGTTGTTACTGTTCTGGTAAGGACTACCTATAGATTCTCAAATGTCCTCTCAAGGATCCATATAGTACATCTTTGTATCAGTTTATCTGTTGATCAGTCTGTCTGTCTATCTTTCTGTCTGTCTATCCATCCACCCATCTGTGCATCCATCCATCCGTCTAGATCTTCTGGGACATTCACTCAGATTTCTACCATCTGTTGTTGTTCTTAGAACGTGTTTCACTAAAACTGATTACAACCTTTAGAAGGTGAGAGCTATTATACAAAAAATGCTGGCATAAAAACAGTATGTATGAGCGAAAATGGGCTGGAACACTCTGGAACCCCGTTCCTAGAGTAAAATTGGAGACGGAGCAGTGTTCCAGCTAAGATTTTGAAAATCTCAGTTACTATTTTTATGATGAAACCACATGTAGTTGTTTTACTCTGTTCTAAACCGTGTGCATGACACAAAGTGTCTGGTGCACGCAGCTCAAGTTCAGCCTACAGCTCATTCAGGCAAAGGAAAGTTGTGCTGTTCCAGGGTCCCCCCAGCCAGTCTCCATGGTAACGCATGGTAAAGCATGCGGTGTGTTTGGAATGTTAAAGTAGTCAAGAAACTGGTAAGAAATTGGTAAGAAAGGTGTAGCTTCACTTTCTAATTTCCTTAAACCTTAGAGACATTTTCTTAGGTATCAAGTTTACTTCATGCAGTTGATAATTTTTTGTTGAAAATTTCTGCTAGCAAGATTGAAAATGTCCATAATAAATTAACACATTAGCTAATGCGACTTCAGTGGAAAGTAAAGAGTGATATTGTGCTAACTGGCCTGCTAATGTCAGCCATTCAGTACAAGCTAGCTAAGTATCTAAACATAAACAGTCCAGCATATCAACTCATCTAAGGTAAAAGTAAATGCACACTGGACACTTTCACAGTCTAGATCGCATCATGAAAATATAGTTTAGTATTTTGGTTACAAAAGTGTTTGGCGGTTTTGTAGTCTGACTTTGGATTCTTGTGTGTTATGTTGTAAGTTAACTGTACTTTCACTGAAAATATTCAAAGACTTTTTTCATATTACACCGTTAGTTTAGTTGAAAAAAAAGTATACAGCATAGTTTATGAACCAATTCCGTGATGTTTTTAAACATTCCCTTTCCTGATTGAATTTTCCCTGGTCTCCATAGAAATAATGTCATCTGTGTTTAAGAAAAATAAATATTTAGGGGGAAAGTTTAAATTGCAATTAAATTAAGTTTTTGTATGTGAATCTGTGATATAGTCAAAGCATTAACTATTATAAAGTCATTCATGAAAATGCCAAGGCTGGATAGAGACCTAGATTTATTTGCAATAACTAGTTAAAAACATACTTTTTCTGTTCTTTTATCTTTAACCAAAAAGATCAGAGACTCCTCATGTAAGGATGTACAGTAGTAATATTCAGCTTCTAAGGAAAACATTCAAGCCTTCAGTTCTTAAAATATCTTAGAATTTTTAATGCAGGACATGCAGTAGATTAAAGCATTTATAGGTTGATTGTAAAAATCTATGAGTAAAAATGTTATTTCAAGTTGTATTTCAGCATGTGAATGTGCCAGAAACAGACACTTTTTAATGTGTTTTTGCAACAACAACAAAAAAATAAATAAATAAAAACCTGGGGTGCCCCAAGTTAAAGCTGGCAACTTCCACCCTTGGTATATCCATAACCCAGCACTGGGTCACTATGCATAGAACACTGGGCTAAACTGACCCAAAATCACTATTGCTGGGATATATGAGTAATCCAACAAGAGTTACCCTAAAATATGGTTACTATGAGCCAGTACTGGTTTATTCTAACAATTTTGTTGGCTTAATGTCTGAATTTTCTTTTTTTTTCTACATGATTTTTCTTCAAAAAAATATGAATCATTAAAGTATTGCTAAGTAATGAAATCTGTTCAGTTACAATCTTTATTAATCTAATATTTAAGCTTCTTCTCAGTTTGCCGCAGATATTCTGGCATGTTTATTAAGGAGAAGATGACAAAAGTTAAAAAAAAAACAAAAAAACATTTCAGACACACAACAAATAATTCATACTCAAAAACAACACCTTAACACCTTGTCCAAAATAGTATACCATACATTAGGTGAAGAAGAGTGGTGAAATAAAGTCAAGCACAACCAAGTTTGTTTGGTTGACCAACATTAGCTAGGTTAGCTATGCAACTAATGTTAGCCAGTTACAATAAAATTATTACAAATATACTCTTCTTGAAATAAAACTATACTTCTTGAAATAAAAGCAACATTTATTAGTTTCACTTAATAGTAAGTAGTAAAACATTTGTATTTTATAGAAATTTACTTATGCATTCCTGTTAGCCATGCTAGTTATTCCACCCAGTGTTGTTGGTATTTGAAAATGAATGCTTTAGCTGGATTGTTATTGTGACACGGTCACTAACCCAGTGGTTAGACTACAAATACATTGCCTAAAAACTAGGTTCAACACAATGTTTGGGTTGTAAAAACAACCAAGCAGTCTTTAGAGCGTACGTTCACTGTGCTATACTATTCAATGCAATTACATGAGTAACAAAAATGTGAAGGATGTTCTTTCCTCAAAACAGCAGCGATAACAGTAACGTTTCATCAAATTCAGATCATCTGAAATATCTATTCTTTAACTTTTACCCCAATTTGGTATGAAAGGTTTAGAATCTTTGTCTACACTTCTTTCTGTGGACTGTAACTTGGTTTGACTAACAGAGTATTATGATGTCATTGTAACGTCACAACACCATTATGATGTCATAATCCACCATATAAACTGTAAATCTGTTCACACTGATAGCTGACCACCAATCCTTTTTTTTTGTGATGCACATTAAGCCCGATCCTGGACTTAATAACTCTGTTATGGTGGATTCCCAGCTGAAACCGCTGCATAGTTTAGGACCAGCCTCAGCCATGTCCGGAAAACCTCCCCTAAGTTCATTAAAAGGGAGTTTGGGGGTTTGAGTGGGGGATTTGAGGATGAATAGAGAGCAGAGGAGCTGGGGGTATATTGAGATTTCAGTTCTGCTATCTTGCCTCCAGCACCGATTTGAGTGAGTCCCTGGAGTTCGTTAAAGATTCAGTGGGCTGAATTCTTCATATCCCTGCTTTGAAGTCAGTGGAAGAAGAAAGAGATGATGCTGCTACTTTGTGCTGCTACTCTCCCTCACTCCGCTTCTTTCGCCGTTCTCTGTGATATGTCGGCCTGACAGAATGCGCAGTGAATACCTTTGGCGCGCCGCACAATCACCAACAGTGAACAATTGTTCCCAGGCGGAGAAGGAAGAGGCTGCTGAGTCAGATGACTCCCCCTAGTGTCAGAGGAGAGACAGAACTGAATGTGTTCAAGCAAGGACAAACGCACACATGCTGTCATGCACTCAGGCTCTGGGTGTATGGACCGTAAGATAGTTAGGGGCTTTAAAAGGAAGCCTAACAAATGCGTAGACTTGCATTCTAACCAGTCGCATGTATTGATATAAAATCCATGCAAAAGTCAGAGACCACCCTTCATGTATTTTTTTCCAGTTAAAACAGCCATTAAGTATTAAGTAATTTAAGTAATAAATAATCATTTTTCTGTCAGAAAAAAAGCTGAAAAAATATGTAACAGAAATCCACACGGAAGTCTCAACAACTAAATATAATTAGATTTTTCAGCATTTAGTGCGTTCACATCATTTTTTCAGCTCCAGTTCTGGAAACTTTCCTCATCCTTATTCAAGTTGATTAACTTATAACTAATCTCCTCAGAAATGTCACATAAAAAATTTATTTTTTTACTCAGTGGTTGTTTTGACTGGAATTTAAACAAATGAAGTGTGGTCTCTGAGTTTTGCAAGTTCAGTTAAGCCTATCTTCAGCTATGTCACTATTATTTATTATTTATTCACAAATGGGTTTTAACATATCAAAAGCAGTGTAGTTGCAGTAGTAGTAATTTGTCCATATTTTGCGTTCCTACAGCGTGTTGGATACAAGGAATACAAGCACTATATTTTAATACCATGTGCTATTGTACATATTTCTTTGACAGATAAATTCTGTGGAACCTGTTTTTAAGCAATAAAATAGAGAAATACTAGTGCACATGTCACTATAGCAACATATGGAATTTAATTTTGAGCAGTTTTATACATTGATATTCGAGCACAGACAAAGCAGATGTTCGAGCTGTTCAAGATGTTCAGTCAGAGCTGATATTTATATCTTCCTTACAAAACAGTCAGATGTACAGAGGTTATAATGTAAGATGTGTTTTGTAGATAGTACGCTGAGCTTTAGGCTTTATATCACAAGGCAGGTCACGCACTCTTGGGCTTGTCATGGCTGATCTGGCCCTGTAAAGTTCAGAACAATGAGCCCTCCTGAATAATAACTGTATACTGGTGTTATTTAAAGCTTATTGTGGCAGCAATTTCACGCTAGTGTTATTTAAAGCTCATAGTGACACCGGGCAGCCATTGATTTACTGCATGTCCCATAGAAACCTATACGGCCGTATTTAAGTGTAAAATTGCCTTTTCCAGTTCTAGTACTGTATGAAAAATACTTTATATCAGTCAAGGAAGAAGGAGGGAAAAAGGAGATTACTTTTATTCGCATTTTATGCCAGCAGAATTCCATAGTGCCTTGTGATGAACCATATGCTTAGGGAAAAAGGGAGCTTGGAACCGTGGGAGTTGTAGTCTTTTGTAAATGAAAGCTTCAGGTGAACAGGGAAAGAAGTTTTCTCCCTTTTGGCAGCAGATAGAATGTTCCCCTAGGTCTGGAGACTTCTCTGTTTGGATTGGATGTAAGAAAATTATACTTGCAAAAGGAATGCTAAAGGAAAATCAAAGGAAAAATAAGCGAAAAAACAGGAATTCCTAAAACTGGAGTTTCAAAAATTCTAAAAGATACAGAAAAAAAGGAAATCCCAACAACTGAAGATTAGTCTCTGACTTCTACACAGTACTGTATCTGGTAGTTTTTGAAACAAGGAA